TAAAAGCCACTGGGTTTTGAGATTTGTTTCTGAATCTCTGGGATCATGGCTGTTATGCAGTTCGATCAGGAACCAGAAAGGCCATTTCTCAAATTATAGCTGAGCCCGAGGTGGTTTCTGGGTGTGTCTCCCACATATCTAACTTTTGGCCGTTTCCTTTCTTGGTAAACTTTGTCCCACGTTTTTGGGGTCTGGCCAAAGGCACAGCAGCAATTTTGGGATATCTGGATGTCTGAAGGCGTCATCAGGCTGCTGATGCACTCGCCTCACAGGTACAGACTGACCTGCTGGCAGCACCATACCCCCATTTGGTTTCCTTTTAACTTTAAATCATTCTTCAATAATTGTTTTCCTCATATAAGATCATAGTTTTTCTTTTATATTAAAGAATTGTGATTTGCAAAGTTATTGATGGTTGAGTTTTAGGCAGATTATATTTCAACACCAAAACCACCACTAGTGTCAACTTCCCTCCACCACTGATCCCATATTCCTTCCCCACCCTCAATTGCCACCCCATCTCTGCCTGTCAACTTGACAGACACATTACAAAGTTACAGTGGTTGCTGATTATATCTCATGTTTCCAGTGTTTTGGATATATGGCTACACCACTCATCCATTATAACTCAAGCCCTGATGTGTGTTTATCCATTAATTCCCTTTTTTCTGCTCCCCCCTTGATTTATTTCTTTCTCTGTCTTCTGTTCTCTAAATACTGGGGTCAAAGGTGATCTAGGCATTCCCCCATTTACTAAATTTTGTCCTCCAGTATTCTGTATACCTCAGATAAGTGAGATTATCCTGTGTTTGTCTTTCTTCTTCTGGCTTACTTCTCTTAGCATGATATCCTCCAGTCCCAAACCAGTTTGCAGCAAATTGCATGATTTCACTATTCCTTTCAGCTGCAAAGTATTCCACTTTTATATATATCACATCTTCATAATCCATTCTTCTGTCTTTGGACAACTAGGTTGATTCCATACCTTAACTATTGTACTGACTACAGCAATGAATAATGGTGTCCTTTTGAGAGATAAGAACACGCACATTTTACTGTTGCCTTTTCCTGGTGATGGGGTTGCAGCAAGGTTGGAATATAGGGTCTCATATATGTGAGGCATGTGATCTGCCACTGAGCTCTATCCTGGTCCCAATTCATTATTATTTAAAAAATAACTTGCAGGATAATTTCCCAAAGATTTGAGATGAGAAATAACCACTTTGAGGTATGATATCTGTCTGAAGTTTCAATCAAGTCATATTGTCAAGATAACTGCTCACATTGTCTTATCATAAATTGATCTTAATTGGAGATGATACTTCGGAATGTATGTGCTGAATTTCTAGTGAACCACATAAATGCCCTGCAAATTGCCTGCCTTCTGCTCTCCTGCCTCTTTTTAATAACAAAGTATCAGATATTTTTTCAGTTATTTTTAATTTTCCTTTTGTCCTGTAGGAAGAAAAGCACCAAAGAACTTCTGTACACTGTGTGTTTGTTCCCAATAGCCAGAATCAAAGGTGTTTGTAAAGAGAGAACTTCAAAATTGTCAATAGATTTATTTTACCTTGAACTAGACCACATGCAGAATATATACTTCTGCTGGAACAAGACCACAATGAAGAATAGAATGTGAATCACATAACATCATGCTAATGTCAATTACCACAAACTTGTTTCCTAGCTTGAAATTCTGTTTTTCTCTGCTTTTTAGATATTTGCAAAGAGTTATTAATGTACTTACTTTGCTTAGTTCACAACCAGATCATAAGAGCAGAATCCATTTTGCAGCCTTAATTTTATTTGGCAATGACTGGATCTGTGTTTCTTTCAAAAGTTCACCGTTGCGGCTAATTGCATTCTGAGATCACACAAACGTTTGTTACTTAAGGTTTAATTACTTAACAAAGATTTGTTTTAAAAAAAACTTGTTAAATATTTTTCCTACATTTCATCTTCACCTCTTAGAAATAAGTTGGAGATTATGAATAAGCGATAGCATAGCGGTAGGGCGTTTGCCTTACATGGGGTCGCCCGGCTGAGCCGGGTTCGATTCCTTAGCTCCCTCAGAGAGCCTGGCAAGCTACCGAGAGTATCTCGCACCCACGGCAAAGCCTGGCAAGCTGCCCGTGACATATTTGATATGCCAAACACAGTAACAAGTCTCACAGTGGAGTTGTTACTGGGCCCGCTCGAGCAACTCAATGAAGAACGGGAGGACAGTGCTACCCTCTTTAATTGTTAATGATTTGTAACAGAATTTGATCTTGATTTCTCAAGCAGTCATCTTTGCCTTTATTTGCAATAACTTTCTTTTTTTTGCAGCTTTATGGAACTTTTAAAAAATTTTTATTAGTGAAACACCATGAGGTACAGTTGTAGACTTACAACTTTTTGTGCTTGAGTTTCGATTATACAATGATCAAGTACCCATCCCTCCACCAGTGCCCATTTTCCCTCATCATGGATCCCAGTATCCCTCCGACTCTCATCCCCCCCCCATCCCACCCTGCCTCTGTGACAGGGCATTCCCTTTTGTTCTCAATTTGCCATAACTTTCTCAAGATATGCTTGAATAGCATCAGTTCTAGCAGTCCCTCAAGATGGCAAAGAGCTATTTAATAACAAATGGAAAATTTGAGCCTGTTAGTATGAGGTAGCCACCAACAATCCCCTCACCTAAATCTCCATGGGACATTCAATATTTTGTAAAAGATCTTCGCATAAATTCATTATATATCCTCCTAAAACCAAAGTTACCCCCAAACACATTAAAATCAAACTGCGCTAACATCTGGTTTCCCATAAATCAAAATCTTAGACACTATGTTTAAAGGAGTATTTACCATTTAAAGGAAGAATTTGAATGGAGGAAATAGAGTAATTTTAAAAATGGGCTTCATCTGGAAACAGTCCCCTGATCATTTTCACATGCGTTTATCCTAATGACATATCTTTTCAGCCTAGGAGATACTAACCTCTTTTGGATAACACTTTCCTATGGATCACTAACAAGTTGTCTTGATATTTCACAAAGGGCTATCCAGATCTTGAATTGAACTAAGTATAAGTACACTTGCTTTTCCTTTGTCAGCATCGTGCAAACTAACTTCCTTGCTGAAATACCATCAGCTTCCACGGGAACAAGCTATCCCAGTTTCCAGGTGGATCATTTAACAATGTAAAAAAAACCCAGAGTTTTTTTCTCACATAGACTATGCAGTTTGGGTTGAAATGCATTGCAACAACTTTTATTCATTTATAAGCCTCCAAGAGCCTGTGGGTGGGAAAAACTTTTAAAATATTTTTCTACATTTCATCTTCACCTCTTAGAAATAACCTGGACAATTCTGAAGAACCATACCCTTGATTGTTAATGATTTGTATCATGGATACTCTCCTTAGCACAGTATATTTTGATAATGCCTTTGAAATAGAAGCAAGTTAAATAATACAGATGTGTAGGGAGCATAAGAAGGCGTCCATTTACTTTGTTGGTCTAGGCAGAGGCATTTAATGAATAACAATACAAAGACATATGGCCACTTAGGAGCTAAATATTGCTGGAATGTAAATCTCCTTCACAAAAAAATTGAAGTTTGTTTAACTCACTTCACTTTTCTCTTATTTCATATCACTGTATTTCATTTTTCTTTTCTTTTATTCAGTTTTTCATTTTTTAGCTCACACATGGCAGGTCTCAGGGCTCTAATCCCTAATTCTGAGCTCAGGGATAACTTCTAGCAGGGATTGGGGTTCATGTGTGTTGCCAGGGATCAAATCCAGATTGGCAGCATGCAAGGCAAATGCCCTATCCAAAGTACTATATCTCTGGCCTGGTTTACATCATACTAAAAGAGAGTTGCAGAAATGAACTGAAAACAAAGGAAAATAGGTGGAAATGACTTTACAGGGTATAGTATATACGTTGCTCTTTGAACCCACTTCTCACCACCAGATGTCTTGTTAAATGGTTATTTCCAAAATTAATTGTACTCGTTGTCTGTGAATTTTATTTTATTTTTCCTGTGGATTTTATTGAAGTACCTATTCTTCTTTGAAAAAAAATTGTTTGTTGTATCACTGTGGTACAGACCCTTACAAAGCTGTTCATGATTAGGTTTCAGTCAAACAGTGTAGCACCGTCCATCCTTCCACCAGTGTACATTTCCTAGCACCAGTGTCGCCAGTTTTCCTCCACTCCCCAGCCTGCCTCTATGCCAGGAGCTTTCTCTCTTTTTCTCTTTCCCTCCCTCCCTCCCTCTCTCTCTCTCTCTCACTCTTCTTTATCTCTCCTTTTGGGCATTGTGATTTGCAATACAGATACTGAAAAGTTATCAGGAATATCCCTTTACCTACTTTTAACACTCAGTTCTTGTCCAGTATGATCATTACCAACTATTATTGTCTTACTGGCCTGTTCTCTATCTTTTCTACCTCCGCTGCATACACACTTGTGGTGAGTGAAATAAGTCAGAAGGAGAGGGACAGATATATAATGAAAGCATCCATTTATGGTATATAGAAATATATAGTAGAATGCTAATATCCATGGCAAGGGAAAATGGGCTAGGAGGACTGGTCAATACAGTGCATGTTCTGATGCTATTAACCTGAGAAGTGCATGAAAATCCTATATTCCTATTAATTCCCAAGTGTGGTAACTCCTACCAGGTGGAAAACCTCTCAGATGGAAATGGTGTTACCTGATTTTAACATGTTTGAGTCTGAATCCTGTGTAATGTCAATCCATTAGAATAATGGGCTTGGAAGAACACTCAATGAACTAGAGTGCATAGTTTGATTGCAGGATAACCAGGTTTGATCCCCAGCACTGTATGGTCCTCTGAATACTACCCTTATGCAACCCCTGATCACAGAGCCAGGATTAGCCTCTGAGCACTGCTGTGTGTGTCCCCCAAGCAAAAAGACGAATATTCATTTTCCCTATATTTGAAAGAAAAAAATTTTAGGTAATATAAATCTCAAATCAGGACATGTCCGTTAAGAGGTATGCTATCTCCTTTTATTTACAATTAGTTTAATCTTGATATAAGATTCCCTGAGCTAGAGAATATTAGACAAAATTTCCAGGAGAGGGGATTGAGGAATAGAAGTTTTAAAGAACTGACTATTCCCCAGTCCATGCCTAGAAAGTGGTAGAACAATTTTTTGCACAGATAGTTTATCTTCATATCCAGTTTGTTTGTATAGCATTCTGTAAGAGGAAAAACAAACTTTCACACTTTTGAACACATTTCTTCCTCACAGTGATGAAATGTAGGTCTGGTTCTCTTATCCATAATTTGTCGGTAGGGAAAGTGAGGCTGAAAAATTTTTTAAAAAACCTCGTAACTTCAAACAGTGACTAAGAGTTCAGATTCCTAGTTAGTCTTTTTCTCTCTTTGCAACTCAACAGTAATTCGTTTGAAAACACTAGGTATATGCTTCTGAAATTTGCAGCAGGAAATACCAGTATAATTTAAAAATGAAACCTATTAAAATAACTTTGAGCCTCATATTTTTTTGGCTTTTAATAATAGCTATTGCTATGTCAGTTATCACATTTTCATATCTTATTTATTTTTAAAAATTTTTTTAAATTTTATTGAATCACCATGAGATAGTTACAAGCTTTCATGTTTGGGTTACAATCACAGAATGATCAAACACCCATCCCTCCACCAGTGCACATTCCCCACCACCAATATCCCTGGTATACGCCCCTTTTCCAACCCTCGCTCTGCCTCCATGGCAGACATGATTCCCCATAATCTCTCTCTACTTTTGGGCATTATGGTTTGCAGTAAAGACCATGAGAGGTTACCATGTTTGATCCTTTATCCACTTTATGCACACATCTACTGTCCTGACCAATTCCTCCAGCCATCTTTTTCTTAGCAATCCCTTCTCTATTCCAGCTGCCTTCTCCACTTTGCTCATGAGGCAGGCTTCCAGCTATAGAGAAATCTATCTGTCCTGTGTATCTACTATCCTTAGGCGTCCACCTTATGTTGTGTTGTTTTATACTCCACAAATAAATATAGTCCTTTTGTGTCTGTCCCTCTCTTCCTGACTCATTTAACTTAGCATGATACCCTCCATGTCTATCCATTTATAAGCAACGCTCACGATTTCATCTTTTCTGACAGCTGCATAGTATTCCACTGTGTAGATGTACCAAAGTTTCTTTAACCATCTGTCCTAGGGCACTTGAGTTGTTTCCAGATTTTGGCTATTGTGAACACTGTTGCAATGAACATATAGGTACAGATGTCATTTCTACTGTGCTTTTTGCATCCTCGGGATATATTCCCAGAAGTTGTACTGCGGGGTCCTATAGAAGCACAATTTCTAGTTTTTGAAGAACTGTCCATATTGTTTTCCAGGAAGGCTAGACTAGTGGGCATTCCCACCAACAGTGAAAGGGTGTCCCTTTTTCCCCACATCCAGGCCGGTACTGGTTGCTTTTGTTCTTTTGAATGTGTGTCAGTCTCTGTGGTGTAAAATAATATCTCATTATTGTTTTGATTTGCATCTCCCTGATGGCTAGCAGTGTGGAGCATTTTTTCATGTGCCTTTTGGCTATTTGTATTTCTTTTTTGAGGAAACTTCTGTTCATTTCTTCTCCCCATTTTTTGATCGGGTTGGATGTTTTTTTCAGTACAATTCTACTAGTGACTTGTATATTCTGGATACTAATCCTTATCAGATAGGTATTGGGTAAATATTCTTTCCCATTCTGTGGGCTCTTTCTGTATTTTGGTCACTGTTTCTTTTGAAGTGCAGAAGCTTCTTAGTTTGATGTAGTCCCATTTGTTTATGTTTGCTTCCACTTGCATGGTCAGTGCTATTTCATCCTTAAAGATGCTTTTAGCTTCAATGTCGTGGAGAGTTCTGCCCACATTTTCCTCTTTGTATCTGATAGATTCATGTCTGATATTGACGTCTGTAATCCACTTTAATCTGACTTTTGTGCCAGTCATTAGACAGAGGTAAGAGTTCATTTTTTTACATGTAGCTATCCAGTTTTCCCAGCACCAACTGTTGAAGAGGCTTTCCTTGTTCCACTTCACATTTCTTGCTCCTTTGTCAAAGATTAAGTAGTCAAATATTTGGGAGTCTGTGATAGAATATTCAACTCTGTTCCATTGGTCTCCAGGTCTATTTATAACCCAGTACCATGCTGCCTTAATTACTGTTGCTTTGTAGTACAGTTTGAAGTGGGGAGGGTGATGCTACCCATCTGCTTTCCCCAAGGATTGTTTTAGCTATTCGTGGGGGTTTATTGTTCCATATGAATTTCAGGAGTGTTTTGTCTATTTCTTTGAAAAATGTCATGGGTATCCTGATAGGGACTGCATTGAGTTTGTATAGTGATTTGGGCAGTATTGCCATTTTGAATGTTAATCCTCCCTATCCATGAGCAGGGGATATGTCTCCATTTCCTAGTGTCCTCTTTTATTTCTTGAAGTAGTTTTTTTGTAATTTTCCTTGTATCAGTCCTTCACCTCCTTGGTTAAACCAGTTCCGAGGTACTTGATTTTCTGAGGTACTATTGTGAATGTGATTTTTTAAAATGTCTCTTCTCTTTATTTATTTGTTTATAAGAAAGCCACGAACTTCTGGGTGTTGATTTTGTAGCCTGCCACTTCGTTAAACTGACCTATTGTTTCTAGGAGCTTTTATGTAGAGTCTTTAGGATTTTCTAAGTATAGTCTCATATCGTCTGCAAATAGTGATAGTTTTACCACTTCCTTTCCTATCTGTATTCCCTTGGTACCTTTCTCTTGCCTAACTGCAATGGCCATGACTTTTAATACTATACTGAATACTTCACTTCACTTAATCACTTAACTTCCCGTTAGTCGTCGATTTGCTCGAGCGGGCACCAGTAACGTCTCCATTTGTCCCTGTCGCGTGCTAGTGTAGCCCAATGGCATCTGTTCGCTCCGGGAACATGAAGGGCCTCAAACCGATCGTTCATGATCTTGACGAAGAAGTCTGACCATCTGGTAGGTGGGCGGCCACGCGGTCTTTTGACATCCCGTGGAATCCAATCAGTAACAGCTCTAGTCCAACGGTCGTCTTTAAATCTCATTACGTGACCAGCCCATCTAATTTTCGACACCTTGGCAAATGAGGCAGCGTCCCTGATCCTTGATCGTCGACGGATGTCAGAACTCCGGATTCGTTCTCTCAATATTGAATTCAAGTGGCAAAAGTGGGCAACCTTGTATTGTGCCTGATCTTAGTGGGAAGGCTTTTAGATTTTCCCCATTGAGAATGATACTTGCCATGGACTTGTGGTAGATGGCTTTGACTATATTGAGGAAAGTTCCTTCAATGCCTATTTTGCTGAGAGTTTTCATCATAAACAGGTGCTGGATCTTGACATATGCTTTCTCTGAATCTATTGATATGATCATTTTTTTTATATTTTCTTTGTTGATATGATGGATTATGATGATCAATTTTTGAATGTTAAACCATCTTTGTATCCCTGGGATGAATCCTACTTGGTCAGAATGTATGATCTTTTTGATGAGTTGTTGGATTCTATTTGCTAATAGTTTGTTGAGGAACTTTGTGTCTGTGTTCATCAAAGATATTGGCCTGAAATTCTCTTTCTTTGTACTATCTCTGTCTGCTTTTGGTATCAGGGTGATATTTGCTTCATAGAAATTGTTCAGAAGTGTTTTTGATAATTCAATTTCGTAGAAAAGCTTAAAGAGGATTAGGAGCAAGTCATCTTTAAAGATTTGGAAGAATTCACTAGTGAATTGATCTGAGCCAGGACTTTTGTGTTTGGGGACGCTTTTTATTACTGTTTCAATTTCCTTGATGGTGATAGTTCTGTTCAGATATTCCAGATCTTCTTGGTTTAGCATTGGGAGGCTATAGAAATCTAGAAATGTATCCATATCCTTGAGGTTTTCGTGTTCCTTGGCATAAAGCTTCTTGAATTACTCCCTGAGGATCCTTTAAATTTCTGTAGTTTCTGTTGCAATATCCGCCTTTTCATTTCTGATTTGGTTTATTAGGGTTTTCTCTCTTCCTTTCTTTGTGAGTTTTGCTAGAGGCCTATTGATCTTGTTTATTTTCTCGAAGAACTAGATCTTGGTTTCATTGATATTTTGGATTGTTTTTTGGATTTCCATGTCATTAATCTCTGCTCTGAATTTTATTATTCCCTTCCTCCTGTTCGGATTGGGCTCCTTTTGTTGGGCATTCTCCAAGCTTTTGAACTGTGAGGTTAGGTTACTTATGTGGGCTTGCTCCTCCTTCCAGGGCTGGAGCGATAGCACAGCGGGTAGGGCGTTCGCCTTACAAGCGGCCAACATGGCCGACCCGAGTTCAATTCCTCCGCCCCTCTCGGAGAGCCCGGCAAGCTACCGAGAGTATTGGATATGCCAGACACAGTAACAACAAAGTCTCCAATGGAGACGTTACTGGGCCCGCTCGAGCAAATCGACGATCAACGGGAGGGCCTTACCTTTACCTTTACCTCGAGCTCCTCCTTCCTGAGGAATGCTTGTAGAGTTATAAACTTTTCTCTTAACACAGCTTTTGCTGTGTCCCATAAGTTTTGGTAACTCATGTCCTCATTTTGGTTCGTTTCCAAGAATCTTTTGATTTCCTCTTTGATTTTTTTATAAGTCACTCATTGTCCAATAGTGAGTTGTTTAATTTCCACGTTTTTTTATTTAGTTTTCTTCGTGTGCGTATGTGTGATATACTTCTAATTTAAGTGCATTGTGGTCTGAGAAGACTGTTGTTACAATCTCTATCTTCTTAATTTTATGGAGGTATGTTTTGTGGCTCAACATGTGGTCAGTCTTGGAGAATGTTTTGAATGTCATCTTTCAAATTCTCAGCACTTAAATTTCCAGTTCTTAAATCTGAGTGGACTACAGCTGAATCTTACGAAGACAATGTTTATGAGAAACAGCCTCGTTCCTGATGCCCCATTTGCTCTCAACGGAATGACCATCTCCGAATGCAACAGCT